CGACACTTGAGGTTCGGAGTCTGAGGAAGCTACTCCCAAGGACCCATTCTGTGTTCCACCTTGTACAGTGAGTTTCTGTCCTGAAGCCTTTGGTAACTTACTAACTTCGATACCAGCTCTCTCCCCTAGTTACATAAAAACAAAACATAACCAAGGATGGAGGCCCTAGTTAAGTCTGTTTCCTTATACCCAGCCCCCTCTGCCCATGAATACTACCACTTATGTACCAAGGCGTGCCTGGATTTCCCAATCTCACTCACCTGGATGCTCTACCCTACCTGGTGGAACATGTGTCGTTTTGGTGTGGGGAACCCACTGTTATACCTGTCTGGCCTGAGACTTGGAAAAGTGCTGTCTTGCTTACTCTGGGGTAAGCCTGTGGCATCCTGAACCTTTTCTGTCTTCCTCACTAGCTAGTCAGATTTCCTTCGTGGGCTTCCTGCCAGAACCCAGCCTCTCCCTGCCTTCTCTAGCACTCCACAGCTTTCTACAGCTAGTTCAGCCAATAGCTAAGTACAACAAAGCAGCTACCTGCAACCACTGAGACAGAGGGTGATGAGGACAGGCAAGACCATGGGAATTGAGAGGAAAGGATCATCTAAGTAGGAGGAAATAAATAAATGCTTTTAAGAACTAACCAAATGGGGAGATGGTAACAGGCAGGAAAGAGTCAAAGAACTCCATGGTTCAAAGTCCAGATACCAAACACAGCCACATCGCAATGCCTAAGATAGATGGCGTTGGCAAGGGATCTGTTTGGGTCTGGAACATGTTTGTAGACAGTGCTTTTTTATTCCCTCATCCCTCACCCACTGTGCACACTCATAGCATTTTCCAGTACCTTATCTCTCTATGGTGAGCTCCATGAGAGAGGGAACCTTGCTGGCTCATTTGCTGCAGAATACTTGGCTCTGGGACAATGCCTGACGGGCACAACATTTTCAATGTAGATACATGCAAACCGTATGAATGGATTCTGTGTTAACACGCTGCCAATCGAATGCTTGGGTAAAAGTGCCCTGGAACCTGGGGTTAAGAGATGTGGGTACTGAGAAGAGAGGATGTGATGAGGAAGGACATGTTAAAAGAATGAGAAAGGCTAAGACACGTAGCAAACTCCCCTCAAAGATTTAGGGGAGATGAGAATGGGAAGAGAGGGGGCAAAAGAGAGTAAGAAAAATCAAAGACAACTAAGACACTGACACCTCTTGGAAATCAAGGAAGAACTAATCAGCAATAGCAAATGTTGAGGTTGAAATGGATGAAAGTAAGAGAGTAGTACTAAATTCATGATTAGGAGGCTTGGAGTAATCTCAGTGGAGTGCTAGATGCTGAGGAGACTGCTGTGGGAAGAAGAATGAAGGTATAGAGAGAAAGTGGGAGAAGCAGGTACAGGTTAGGTTTTTAAGACACTTGGGCTTGATGATAGCACTCTATGCAGAAGTTAGAAACACAACTGTGTTTAGACGGGGGTTTGTATTCTCAGCTTTGGATGTGTGTTTGTACAGGGAGATGAAAGCATATTGAAATATCCAGAGAAAGGGACCTTAGTCTACCTCACACCCCCAAAAGACAGAACAGGAACAAATAATTATGTAGGGGAAAAAAGTGTAAGTAATGTCCCAGTGATAGGAAAGGGATAGAAGCTAGAGATTGGGTTGTACCACACCTAAGAAGGGCCCTGTCACTCAAGAAAAGAAAAGTAGCCCTAACTGGTTTGGCTCAGTGGATAGAGTGTCGGCCTGTGGACTGAAAAGTCCTAGGTTTGATTCTGGTCAAGGGCATGTACCTTGGTTGCGGGCACATCCCCAAAGGTGGTGTGCAGTAGGCAACTGATCGATGTTTCTCTCTCATCGATGTTTGTAACTCTCTATCCCTCTCCCTTCCTCCCTGTAATAAAGCTATAAAATACATTTAATTTAAAAAAAGAAAAGAAAAGTAAAGGAGTAACTGGAAAGGGGTCATGCTTTTTCCCTAGGACCTGACAGCCCACAGACCAGCCCAAATAGAGGCGAAGATACAGGTAGCTTTTCTAATTTAAAGCAAGGTCGGAGACCTGAATGTCGGGGCACAGACTCGTTCTGCCCTACAGGACAAGCTGACTATCACCGCAGGTCGAGGACAGAACTCTTCTTACCTCTTAGCATCACAGTGAATGTATGACTACAATGGCATTCATTACAATGACATTAATAAATCAGCAATGCATCCCATTTACTACCAATTAAAATTTCCTACAGCAGAAATCCAGACTAGGAAAGGTGGTATTAATCACAGCGTAGTGGGACACAGAAAGATTCATGTCTATGCAATTATAAAGCCAGGAGTTTCGGAGAAGGAAAAACACAGAAGAATTACTTTTCTTGGAAAGAATTCATCTTCCTTCATATCCCAAGACATTGTGGCTGCTGCCTAAGGTGTACTTTATAGTTTTCCAGATAGCACATGACTTTGGTCATATCCAGACAGCCAGATTTCTGTTTCTAAGATAATTTATTAAAAGAAGAAAATATTTTTCTCTTGCTTACTTCCAACCACATCGATTTTCCTCTGTGTGTAACCTCTTCCCTCAACGGGAAAGAAACACGACCTACCATTTTGTGCTGCCCTTCATTCTAGGCCTTACACATTCCACAAAGCTCAGCAGGAATTTAAGCCTTAAACTAAACAGACATTTAAGGTGATGATAAAATATTTTATAATTGGACACTTGATAACCTCTTATAAGATTCCAGTAAAGCATTAGCCATAGTGTGGGTTTACAAAGAAATCAAGCAAGTCAATGTAGGAAGCAGATTTACAAAGAAATGTTAACACATCCATGTGGCTTGTTTATATTTTGTCACAATTTTTAGGGGAAAAGCCCAAATGAGGAATCTAATAAGTTTTTCAGATTTTTAATGTATTTTGGTAGTCCTTGGAACTAGAAATATAGTATCCACCAAGAACTTCTTGGAGCTAAACTTATATAAAATCCTATATCAATTTGAGAAGGAAAAAGAGAATACGAAGATGGCCAGGCTATCTTCAGTAAATAGGGGATAACAAAATAATACTTGAGTGTTTAAAATTACTTTTCCTGAATATTCAGAGTTGGTGGGAATACGTTATAGCCTTCCTCCTGTTAAAATAACTAAAAAGAGGTGACCAGGCAAGATAAAGAGGCATTTTGTTGAGGCTGTCTTTAGAAGTTAGCAGCCCAAATTCAGGTAAAGAGCAAGAGAGACAACTGAAGAGGAGTCCATACTGTCTTCCCAGTTCTCCTTAATGTTACTGTTTAAGAGACTGACTCCCATCTTGAGTAGCCATCATAACGAGAAGAGCCAGATTCTCCCAATGCTTAGGGAACCGAGAAGAGAGGCACTTCAGAAGGTCAGTGCAGTTCCAGTCACAATTCAAGAACAAGGAAGAACAGGGTGCCCAGAAAGGGGTTGGAAGGAGTCAAGGACCAACAACAGAATCTGGAATTGAAAGCACCTTAGAATTCAACTCATTCAACTCTGATCTGACTTATCAAGGTCACACAGCACCTTGGTGGCAAGGATACTACTGTAACTCTGAGGTCCTCACTCAGCACAGCACTGTTCACCACTTCTTACTGCCTCTTAATCCAAGAAGCCTATAGGAACTGAAGAGGATTCAATAGACAAGTTATCATTATTTCCCTCTCAGCCAAGTTTCTTTTCTTTTTTTAAATATATAATTGTATTGATTTCAGAGAGGGAGAGAAATCATCAGTGATGACGGAGAATCATTGATCGGCTGTCTCCTGTACTCCCCCTACTGGAATTGAACCCTGGACTCTTTAGTCTGAAGGCCGATGATAAGAATCATAAACCCCATGGACCCATCACAGCTTAAACAATTACCAACTTATGGCAATCTTCTTTCATCTATACTCACTCCTTTTCCAGTGTTATTTGGAAACAAATTCTAGGTATACTATTCTAATTTATTTTAAGTTATTAAATGCTCAAAGATATTATATAGCTGCAAATACATCAGAGACCCTTTTTTTTTTTTTTTTTTTTTTTCCCCCCGTGGTATTTTTTTTATCTTATTTCACAGCTCCAAAAGGAAAGGCCAGCTCTTACTTTGGCACTGGCCAGTAAGACAGGCTCTATGACCCTGTACACACACTGATGATATTAGACTGTGGTGCAATGAGGAATTTTGATGAAGTGACTGTTTTGGACAATCAGCATGGAAAAAGCTGAACTTAAATAAAGATATATTAACAAAATACCACTGATACTGGACACTTGTTTAAGTTGGGCTTAAATCTGGCCTGAGATTTATATCGAGCTTCCTCCATGAGTCCATTTGAAGGGTACTAAATGTTTAATTCTTAAGGTTTAAAAATCCACAAAATAAACTAATGATAAAAAAAAAAAGATCTTTCACACCAATGGGGTTATTACTCCCCTAGGACAGAGACTAATCCTAAAGACATGATAGAAATATAATATTAAGCAATAAATATAGCAATATTTTTCTTTTATACAGCAATTCAAATTTTGCCCACAGAACAAATATATTTTTAAAAAGACATTAAAAATTTTTTAAGTTAACAGATAAAATTATGTTAGATAGATATACAATTGAGTTGGAGTGTGTGTGTGTGTGTGTGTGTGTGTGTGTATATTTTGTCACAATTTTTAGGGGGAAAAACCCAAAAGTCCACACACGCATGGACTGGATACCTGCAGCTACAATGCTGGCAAATTACATTTCTACTCCTAATTTTCCATTTGACTTCCCCCTCCCTACACATCAGTTTTCATGTGAATTTACAACTATATAATCACAAGACTATCTAAGAAAGCCAAAATGATTAGAAAAAGAAGGCTAGTCAGAATTCAAAGTTGTTTCATCCTTAAATGAAATAATTTCACTTTAAATATGAATTTTTTTCCAGAATAAAATCCCTGCAAGCCTCAGTTTTTTACCTTTTGATGAATTTAACAATTGCTCTTCTAACAAAGTTATGATATTCATACCTGCTGAGGTTTCTCTGAATTTGTCACTGGTCTTCTTTTTCCTCCATTTCCAAGGCTTAAAAATTTTGCCGATGGTGGAGAGCTTCCCTTTCCTCTTGAAGGGAGGTGTTTGGGAGCCTGCTGCAGGGCCATCGGAGTTGGCTATGGAAGCTTTGTCCAATCCGTCAACTGCATGAAGAAACGCAAGGCAGGGGAAAGCCGTCATGCCAGTGGGAAGAACATCACCTTCCTGCCCCGTTAACAGCAAGCATGCCCACTTTACTTGGAATCTCAGATAAAGTCTACTTTGCCCATTTCCCAACTGGCTGAACTCCCCTGACATCAATTGGTATAAATGAATCAGAAGTTATAGTCCCCTAAGATAATCATTTTGTGGATGCAGAGAAGCAAGGGGCTTAGTTAATAGGTAGGGCCAGACCAAGTGTGGGTCTTTGAAACAGCTGAATCTATGTGCAACCGCTACATCAATACTTCGTGCAAAACAGAGTATCCTAAATATTTCTGAAACCGGATGTTTCCCCATAGGCTAGTTTGGCATTCTCAGTTACAGTTTCTCCTTCACAAAGTAAAATTTAGAGCCCAGAGGCTAAATTCTAATTTTCACAATGCTAAAACTACCTTTTGCTTCTATTACAAAAGAAGTTTTCAGCCTCAAAGAAAACAACAATAAGTGTGGGAAATGTGGGTACTGTGAGTGATAGAACCTATCTTTATGTGCCTGGGTCATGTTATCAACCACAAGGAAGGTACAAAACCTATGCTGCCTTGCACTATGTTCAAAGCAGAAGAAAGATAGTGATGACATCTTACCCCAACTATCACATTTTAATGGCAAAAAACTGGAATGAGCCCCTATTGGATAGCAGGATGTTATTTCTGTAGTGAAATAGCACTTAGCAATTTTTTAAAAAAGAGCAATCTGAATGCATCTCAAAAATATTGTGCTGGGGGAAAAGCAACACGCAGAAAGTGTACACTGTGTGGTTCTATTTATATGAAGTTCTAAAAAAGACAAAATAAATTTCTGGCCATTTCCCTCCCCCCGCCCCCCCCCCACAAAAAAAAGGAAGAGAGAGAGCGAAGGAGAGAGGGGAGCAGAACAATAATCACTTCTTGGGAGTGAGGTGGTGGTGAGAAGTGAGAAGAGGTGTGAAGAACTTCTTGGGGTGATGGAAATGATCTCAATAAGGGATGGATTATACAAAAGCCATCAGATGGTAATTATGATATTGTGCACGACATTTTATGTAAAATTTACCTTTAAAAAAACCCATAAGTAATGAACAACATAAACTGATGAATAAAAATAGAATTAGAGGGGGGAAACTATATTTTAGATTATAATAGAAGTAATCTTATTATTTGTAGATTTTTAATATTTCCCACAACTTTTGTGATATCATACTATGATAGTACAGTTTTAGTAATATTATTATACTTAAAATCCCTTTTTGTTCTCGAAATTTTAATGTTTATTGCATGTAATATTATTATATTTAAGATCATGTTTCTTGAATAAAAAACAAAACCCCTAAGTAGTAAAGTCCAATTAATAATATTCAAGCTGATGTAATATTTATGGATGAAGTATACTGATGTCCACTAAAAATAATAAATAGATGGAAAGATGGAATGGACAAATACAGGGTGGGGCAAAAGTAGGTTTACAGTTGGTAGTACTTGAAACAGTTTATTCTTGTTATTATATCATTTTCCATATGAACAATTATAAACATACTTTTGCTCCATCCTGCACACAATAAAGTTAAATTAGAAAAATGTTATGTTCAACCTAAGTGGTGGATAGGTGGTGGTTCAGCTGTTTCATTTTCAGAACATTTCAGAACAAAATATTGAGAAAAACAAATCAATAAAACAAAAAAATGGAATGGCAAGGACTTCTGCTTGCAGGAAGATGGAGCAGATTCATTTTTTTCTATTTCTCCTGCTAACTACACGTAAAAACCCTGAGAGTCACATATAAAGCCAGCATAGGAAGACTCTGCAAGGTGAAGAGGGAGTAGACCAGTTTGGGACCTCAGGACCCAAGAAACAACATGGAAGTGAGATTCTGGGGTTTTCTTTCTTTCCTCATGTACTAGTTTACCAGACTTGTCGTTGAAGCAGTCACCAGTAGCCTTAGACTAAAAAGGCCTTGACAGCCCTGACCGGTTTGGCTCAGTGGAAAACGCATTGGCCTGCAGACTGAAGGGTCCCAGGTTTGATTCCGGTCCAGGGCATTTACCTTGATTGCGGGCACATCCACAGCAGGGGGTGTGCAGGAGGCAGCTGATTGATGTTTCTCTCTCATCGATGTTTCTCACTCTCTATCCCTCTCCCTTCCTCTCTCAAAAAAAAAATCAATAAAATATATTTTTAAAAAGTAAAATATTAAAAAAAAATAAAAAGGCCTCAACAAAAACCAAAGGAACAGGCAAGGAACAGCCTAGCAAGACCGAAAACTTTTAAACAATAACTGCTCTACTGCTCACCACAGAAGAAACAGACCATCCATGGCAGCAAAGGCTGAATGGAGAGACTAGACTGCTACCCTCATGAACCTCAAAAGGGGAACCTGAACTTCCAACCATACTAGGCAGTAACGAGGTATCTCTCTTCCTCCCTTCACCCAATATTGGGGCAGTATCCAGCCATTGCCCAAAGGAAACACCATTCCCACCCATTGTGGTGTCAGTGGCGACCACGTGGGGATCTGAAAATCTCACTGTGCCCAACAATAACAAGGAGTGACCACCACTCCATTTCCACCAACAGGTACCAGCAGAGGACAAGTGAGGAACCTGGAATTTTCCCTCCACCAGGCAGTAATGCGGTAGCACCTCTTGCTTCCTATGCTGGAGAGGTCAGACAAAGCCGTTTAAACAAAAGTTTCAATAAAATTTAGTCACATCACATAATACAAAAATGTCTACATTTCAATAAAAAAATTACTTGACAAACCAAGAAGCAGGAAAATCTTAGAATGAATTTTAAAAAAAGATAATTAGTACATGTCAATGTCTAAATCCTTAGGAGTATTCCTTTCAAACAAAAAAAGAATGATAAATTCCATTCTCACTGGTGAAGTCTACTCTAATTTCAGGTAGAAATGTAACTTCTTCTATGTATGGCTCCTAACCTATTTTACCTTGCCCGTGCTGGCCATAGTGCAATAGAAATAGAGAGAGAGAGAGAGAGAGAGAGAGAGAGAGAGAGAGAGAGAGAGAGAGAGAGAGAGAGAGAGACAGAGAGAGAGAGACAGACAGAGACAGAGAGAGAGAGAGAGAGAGAGAGAGAGAGAGAGAGAGAGACAGAGAGAGACAGAGAGAGAGAGAGACAGAGAGAGAGAGAGAGAGAGAGAGAGAGAATAGACTGATTTTAAAGCCAAACCAGAGTGAAGAAGTAAAATTCTTATTTATTTCACTCTCACTCCTGTCCAACTGCCTTCCTTAAATGAGGGGGAAACCCAGGGAGGAACTAAGTGTATGGTACTTCTTTTTCACTGAGACTTTATGCTGAAGAGCTCAATTCTGAATAATTTAAATGTTGTGAAATATAAAAGGGCTGACTATTACAAACACAGGAAGTTAAGTTTTCATCCCAAATTCACCTCTGTAGCTAGAGACACACATCCTAGTTCTCATTTTCTCTCAACCCACATATCCAATTCTACTCCATAAAAATTCTGTTTTGCCCAGGCCAGGTGGCTCAGTTGGTTGGAGGGTCATCCCATACACCAAAAAGTTGTGGGTTCGATTCCTGGTCAGGGCACACATGTAGGTTTTGGGTTCAATCCTGGGTTGTGGCACTTATGGGAGGTAACCAATTGATATTCTCTCTCTCTCTCTCTCTCTCTCATCTCTTTCTCTCGTTTTTCTTAAAGCAATAAAAACATATCCTCGAGTGAGGATTGAAAAAAATTTTGCTTTGGACTGGAACAACTTAAGAATAGTATTCCCCCCCCCCCCCCCCCCGCCACCCCGTGAAAACAAAAAGTAAACAAACAAAAGAAAATCAAATAATTCCCTAGATGCCAGATGGGGAGATTGAGTGAGGTAGCTGATAAGTGAGAAATGAAAGCCTTAATGCTAAATCCATCACTGTATAAGAAATTACCAACCATTATCTTCCTTCATTATGCATTTGCAATTCTAGACTTTATCTGTACTCTGGAAACAGCTTGGGCCAGTGCCAATGGCCACAGCAACACACACACACATACTCTCACACATAGTTCCCTGAGTGAACGGATCCCCCTGTAATTTTATAATTGGGCTATTATAGTAAACCACACTTGCAATTAGAAACCATGTGTTGGCAACGTTGGCCAAATTGCCATTGTACTTCTCTTACACCATGACCATGAAGGGGACTGTTACCTGCTTTGGAGTAGTATGAATAGGACACTAACTCTCTTCTTTCCTGAAAACACCTGGGATACTGCCGGTGCCATAGATAATTCTATAATCTTTCTTTTTGATGAACTTACCATTACAATTAGCTTGAAACTTTCTAAAAACGTTTCACAAGTATAGGGAATCTTGTATTACAGGTAGAGAACAAATTGCCAGGTTAATCCCAAATGAACATGTCCTGACAGCTTTCAATGTTCCATTTTTACCCACTTCCATGTTATCAAGAGTAATCCGTCATTCATCAGAACTTTCCTTTTCACACTTGAGATCAACACTTCAAAACATTTCAAATATCATTTAAATATTTAAAATATTTTGCATATAGTCATTCATTGTTCAAATGCAGTTAAGTTTATTTTTTTAAATATGTTTTTATTGATTTGAGGGGGAGAGAGATAGAAAATCAATGATAGAGAAATACTGATCAGCTGGGATCTACAACCCGAACATATGCCCTGATCAGGAATTAAACGGGTGACCTCTTGGTGCATGGGTCAGTGCTCAACCACTGAGCCACATCAGCTGAACTTTAAATGACACAGCTCAGTCTGTTTTCTCACCAAAATAAGCTCACACCCAACAGGACTTCCCTACACCACCAACTGCTAAAAATTCAGACGTTTTATTTTTCATTTAAACAGAAATTTATCACGTAAGCAGTTCCATTGCACATGTGACCACAGATGCTAGGGAATTACCATATAAAATAAAGTGTAGGTTTGGATAGTCTTCCCTGTGAGATCTGAGAACTGA